ATTATCTTCTCCAACTCCAGCCATTTACCTGCAAATGCCATGATTTTATTCTCTTTTATTGCTGAGTAATATTCCATTGTGTATAAATGCCACATTTTTTTTATCCATTCATCTACTGAAGGGCATCTAGGTGGATTCCACAGTTTAGCTATTGTGAATTGTGCTGCTATAAACATTGATGTGGCTGTGTCTCTGTAGGCTGATTTGCAGTCCCACCACCAATTTGCAGTCCTACCAGCAATGTATGAGCGTGCCTTTTTCCCCCACATCTTCACCAACACTTATTGTTGTCTTCATAATAGCTGCCATTCTGACTGGAGTGAGATGATATCTTAGAATAGTTTTGATTTGCATTTCTCTAATTGCTAGACATGATGAACATTTGTTGATTGATTGTATATCCTCTTCTGAGAAGTGTCTGTTCAGGTCATTGGCTCTTTATTAATTGGGTTATTTGGTTTTTTGGTTAGCTAGATGTTTCTAGTTTAGGGTTATGGATGATTTTTGATTAAAGATGTTAGCTATTATCTGAAGGCTTGATGGACTGGAGGACAGCTTCCAAGATGTTCACACAGTTTCCTGGTTGGTTCTGGTTGTTGAGAGGAGACCTCAGTTCCTTACCATGTGGACCCCTTGATAGAGACCACTAGAAAGTTCTTATGATAAAACATGTGGCTTCTCCAAGCAAGTGATATTAGAGAGAAAGTAGGAGCCACTGTGACTTTTATGTCCAAGCCTTGGAAGTCATACAGTAATTTTTGCAGTTTCCAAACAGATGAGCCCTATTTAGTATGAAAGGGATGTCAGGGGTGCTGCAAGAGATGAGGATCTTTAGGGGCCATCTTGGAGTATGGCTTCCACAGCTCATTGAGAATAGAAAGAACCTTGACTGAGAAGACAACCTCTCTCTGAGCTTCAGCTTTTCCCTGGACCAGTGTTCACTAGAAATTAATGGGAGCCACATTGTAATTTGACATTTTCTAGGAGCCCCACTAAAAAGGTACAAAAGAGGAAAAAAGGGTAATATTAGTTTTAATATACTTAATCTCAATTTAATGAAAAATTAATATAAAGCAATATCAACATTGATGAGATATTTTACTGTTTTTCATACTAACTCTTTGAGATCTGGTATGGGTTTGGCACTATAGCACACCTCACATTTTATAAGTGTTCATTAATCACACAGGGTAGCCTTAGACTGACTTATCATATCTAAAAGTTCTTTTGAGTTCCCAGGATTCTGTGGCTTCTCTTACTTTTAAAAAGAAAGGCTGGGGCTGTAGCTCAGTGGCAGTGCACTTGCCTAGCATGTGTGAGGCACTGGGTTCGAYCCCTAGAACCACATGAAAAACTAAACAAATAAAGGCATGCTGTCCATCTGCAACTACAAAAAAATTTTAAAAAATAATAAAAAAGAAAGGCAAGGCCTTTCTTCTGACATCTGATTTTTGAGTACAAACAATTTATATCAGTTGTTCAAGATGAAATTCGTCTAGAGGTATCTTTCTACTCCCGCCTCACCCATTGTATAGAGATGAAACCAAAGCTTAAGAAAAACCTGAAGTTCCTACAGTAAATTCAAGACAAAGCTAGGACTGAGTTTTGGGTGGAAACCTTTTGTCCTCATCTTTTCCTGCTGTGCACAGACTTAGAGCTCAGAACAATATGCTTTGTAACATGGACACTCAGTCAATATTAATTAACTGATGATTTGCCTTCCTCTTCCCATGATTTGACTCATATCCTTTCTAAGCCTTAGTTTCCCATCCCTGGGACCAATGCCACTGTTATAGATCGGGGGCAGGTTGGGGAGTAGTCGATAATTAACTTGCAGTATTACTGCCAAGAAGGGAAATAATTATTTTTTAAGAAAAGAGATTTTCACTCTTGGAAGGTCATGAACATGTTTATACCCATCTGACACTTGGCCTTCCTCTCTAGCAACTCTAATAAGTGACCACACAGCTCATTCTTAAATGACTCCAGAGAGAATAAAAATTTACTCAGCACCCATTTACAGTGCCAGGTATTAGCTCTCTTAAGTACATTCTCTTTTAGACARGCTGTCCTGCTCTGGACCAGAGAAAAATCACTCTGTGTGGTGTAATGGCTGATTTACCTGACCTTGCTGAGCCTCACTTCATTACATGAAACAAGGAATGTTACAGCATTTGCCTCAGAGTGTGGTAAAAATTAAGTGATCTAATGACAGGTAAAGAATAGAGTATCATGTTGGCATAGAGCAAATGCTCAATAAATTGTTATCATTATTATTAATATAATCTGTTTTCCATGAATCTTCTTGGAAGAATTATCCTCAGATCACTTAACTGACTCCTCCACCCCCAAGGAAGTAGGGTCCTTAAGAATAGAGCTGTGGCTGTCCTCTTTCCACTAGTTGTAAATACTGATTAAATGGAATTGAACTATTTAAAGTTTCCCCCCATCCTGCCTACCTGTCTGCACACCAGCCCTGGCTCATGTGTGTCCCATTAGGGGTAGTGGTCACAGCTGAGCACCACACCCTTGGTATAGACAGACCAGTGTGTAGCAAGGCAAACTGTCATTCTGTGTGCTAGACTTGGGGGCACAAACTGGCACTCGTGGGCTATTGGTGGCCCCAGATGTGTTCTTGAGAATTTATGAATGTGTATCTAATTGTTGTTAACATTTAAGAATGGGCCATCTTCCTGATAATTAGTGAGAACTGAGAAGTAGGTATAATGTTCTCCAGTCGCTCCAGTACCACCCCTTCTTTCTCCTCCAGCCCACTTGTTGACATTGGCTTTCCAACATCTAGAGGCATTTGAGTTGTTGACTCCTCATGTAGACTTTCCCTTATTTTGAGATGCCACAGAGAGTGGACCCCTCTATCATAGCACCAGTTCTGTAGTGTTGTCATGAGGAGGCTTTCGGAGGGGCCATGACTTCCAACAGGTATATGAAAAAAAGTGCTCCAATTCATTAGCAAACAGGGGAATATAAATCCACACTATAATGAGATTACTACCTCACTCCAGCTGAATGGCTTTTATTGAAAGATAAAAGATAACAGATATTGAAAGGATGTGAAGAAAAGGGAGCCATTACATACATACTATTGATGGGAATATAAATTCATATAACTATATGGAAAACAGTATGGAAGTTCCCCCAAAAAATTACAGATAGATTTACCTATGATGCAGCAATCCCACTACTAGGTATACATTCAAAGGAACTGAAGTTAGTATACCCAAAAGACATTTGCACTCCATGTTAATTGCAGCACTATTCACAATAGTCAAGAAATAGAAACAACATAAGAATCCATGAACCAGTGAAGAAAATATTATAWATATATATAAACAATGGAATATTATTCAGCCCTTAAAAAGAAAGAGATCCTGTCATTTGTAACAACATGGATAAACATGGAGAATATTATTTTAGGTGAAATAATCAGACACAGCCACAGAAAAACATAATACATAATCTTATCTGTATGTGGAATCTAAAAGTTGATCTCATAGAAGTTGAGAGTAGAATAGTAGTTACCAGAGGCTGGGAAGCATAGGGGAAAAGAAGGGTAAGGAGCAGGTACAGTGTTATAGTTAGATGAGCTCTGGTGTTTTATTTTTACACAGTAGGGAGTTAGTCAATAATGTAGTGTGTATTTCAAGCAGTTAGGAGAGAGAACTTTGTTCTCACCACAAAGAAATGATAAATAACAGGTGATGCATATGTTTATTACTCTGATTTGATCAATGCACGATGTATACACATATATCAAAATACCATATCACACCCCCCAAAATGTACAATTATTATGACAATCAAAAATAAAATGAAAATTGGGCAGGATTGTGGCTCACTTGCCTAGCATGTGTGAAGCACTGGGTTCTACCCACAGCACCACATAAAAATAAATAGAGATAATGTGTCCCTCTACAACTAAAAAAATATTTTATTTTTTTTATTTTTTTTTTAAAGAGAGAGTGAGAGAGGAGAGAGAGAGAGAGAGAGAGAGAGAATTTTTTTAATATTTATTTTTTAGTTCTCGGCGGACACAACATCTTTGTTGGTATGTGATGCTGAGGATCGAACCCGGGCCGCACGCATCCCAGGCGAGCGCGCTACCGCTGAGC